TTTTCCACAAAAAAAAATTAAAAAAAAAAAAAAAAAAAAAAAAAAAAAAAAAAAAAGGTATGTATTTGACATCCTTTTGTCCAAACTAAACATAGACTGACATAGAGCGACTTAGCAGGGCAACAACACGATAGATCAGCTAAATGGTGAAATACAGAGTCTTACAGACATACTGAGGAAATTAACAACACATATATATAAATGGAAATGTGGTATGGAAAATGAACTAGCAACAATAAATGAGATGCGGACTTCAAGTCCACATATAGACATACGAAAAATTAAAACGATAAAACAGAACATTGGAACTAGCTCTCAGCTAAAATCGTATTAGAAATAATTTTCAGAGTAATCTTGTGCAAAAACACCGTCTTTCCCTCTCTCCATGTTGATGACGGTCCAAGATAATGTATCTTATAACAAATAAAAAAATGTTTTATACACATGTTGTTCCTAGAAACTAAATAGTACACAAGAAAGGGGAAGCTTCTCATTAAAGTGGATATCTTTAAAAATAAATTGTCGTCGACCATACATCTTATCTTATACAAGCATCATCCTGCAGCGGGACCAAGCGATTAGATTCCAAAAGCTGAGATGAAAAACTTAAATTACCGCACAGTCTACTAACACTGAATATATTCTCCAACTTTGAACGTTGAAGTACGAGTTGGATAAAAAGACACTATTTTCTTGGTTTCAAGCAACATTGTACTGAGACGCTGCATGTCATTTGTATTTGAATTTCCATAAGCTAAGAAGCACAAATTCGGATAAAACAGGCTATGGGTACATCGATACAAATTTTTTTTAAAAAATTTTGCAAAAAATTTCATAGGTCATAAAACTCGACATAATATTATTACTATAAATAACATTAAAATAGAGGCCCGACAACAAAAAATAAAATAAACTACTAAATAATTCTATCTCAATCCTTAATTTAATTAGATTAACGTATAATTGATCGGCACAATTTTACATGTATTAAAACTTACATGGTACTAGGTACTAAAAGTTTTAATATCATTATCTATTTCCAATAAGAAAACCATAGTCATCAACTATTAGCACGGTTTTGCATGTATTAAAAGTTTTAATACTATTGCCTATTTTCAATAATAAAACTCTAAGGGTGTGTTTGATTGCAAGCATGGAACTTGCATAGGAAAAAATAAGTTCTACGCAAAGTTCTAGAACTTAGTTGCGTGAAATTTGTCAATAAAATGTAGATTTACTTAATTTTCAACCTAAAAAATATTGTATGTTTTCATTAGTGGGTAGATAAGAGAGGGAAGATTACCTGAAAAATAAAAATCTACTTCCCACTAAAGAAAATATTTTCCTCGATTTTTGAGAAAAATATGATCATGTAACCAACTTTTGAAAAATATTTTCATGGAAAAACGTAAATCAAACATATCAAAAATAGGAATTGGAGTGGAAAAATAACATTTTTCATAAAAAAATAAAGTCAATCAAAAACACCCTAATTGTCAATTAGTCTAAAACTCTAGTTGACAATTATTTAAAATTATACATTTTTTCAATAATAAGTGTAAATTGTGCAGTGAAAACTAGTTTACTTTCTTTAAATTTGTTAATTAATAAATATTATATGTTTTCAATAAGTTATAAGTTATATCAATAACAATAGTTATCTATTACGTAAAAAAACTTCGACAGCCAATAATAATGAGTTTTACAAGTTTTCAAAACCAATAAAACTCATCTTCTTCACGTGTCTTAACGTGTCCAATACGTATAAGAAATTTCAAAAATATAAAAAACATAAAATAATTAAAAAAAAGGTATCACATACTTATTAGAGCATGTCCATGCTTATCCAAGCTTGGATGTATCCATACCCAATATGCAATAAGTTTACACATAACTGTGCTTCTTAGCCGAATTTGCAGAGTCATGGCACTAGACCCAACAAGCATCTATAACAAGTCAGTAAACTCTTCATTATCCAAACTAGATGTAGTCGTTAACGCATCTGTTTTGCAACTATAAAAACTCAAGGAACCCAAGACAGGTGATAAATGCATACAATTCAACAAATTATTTTCTTCTGGTTGCTTGTCTCTTTAGACCCAAACACATGCAAACACAAATATATAAAACAAACAAATAAAATTACCTCCATGACCGTCATAAACACCAAAAAATGAAGTGGAAGCATCCAAATCAGGAATTGCCGCATGCTAAGGGGAAAAAGAAATAGTCACTAACTATTGAAGTGCTAAATCCACGAGACAAAATCATAATCAAACCATATTAGAAAATAATAATCAATCGCAACAACTTAAAACAGTGACAGAAGACAAACTTAATGGGGTACAAGTGCATGATGTCTAATAGAATCTTAACTACTTACAGCATCTTCCATTGTAGAACGCCATCCTTGCATTGATGATAAGCCATATCTAAGCCGGCTATTCTCACCATCTTCGGAAAACTTCTCTGTTTTAGGGGTACTGAGATATATACCCATCTGTTTTAACTGCTATTAGCCCAACATAAATTCAAATCAAGATCTTCAGCCAAAAGAATCAAAAGATGGAAAATTAGGGAAAATCTAAAAAGCTTGCAAATTTCACTTAGTCAATAATTCCAAGTACAATTTCTAGATACTGTCAACTCATTTCAATGCCTGAAAAAAAATAAAAAAAAATTCTCCAAACATGACAATCAGAATGAATTGATGTCCATAGCATCAAAGATTCAAACTCAAAACTCCACAGATGATAATAGCTTTCATAAAAACAAATACCCATAACTGTTAAAAAAAAAACAGAGGTAAGGGAAGAAAAAGAAAAATCAAAGCCATAACCCACAAAAATCTATAAAACGCCATTTCGAAATTATTGTACATTTTTTGTATTTTTCAGTTTCAATTCCTAAAAACATGTTTTGCAATAAACTCAAGCAATGGCTAATATCAAACAAAAATCGAGCTTGAAAATTAAACCAACTGTAAGAAACCAAATTTAACCTACAATCAACATAGAAGATCAAGAAAGGCAGCAGAAAAAATAATCACATGAAATCGCTTACAAATATACTATTTCGCTTTATAGTATCGAAAATTTACAAGAACAAGACGATACCAAAAAGGGTTTATGCAGTAGCATCATTTTCTACTTACATGCCCAATAACAACGCAACAATTTTGACAATAAATGAACACACTTAATCCTTCTTTTCAGTGAAAACAAGGAAAAAAAAACAAAAGCCAGAAAAAGTTTAAAAAATGGATATAATTATTGGTGAAAGAATTGAAGATGGAGACAAGAGGGGGGAGAGAGAGAAAGTTTGGTATGCCCGTGTTCATGAATGGTGATTTTTTGATAAACATGAATGAGATATGAATAATATGAATTTGCTGTCACTATTATAGAATATTATTTTTTATTATCTGTAAAGATTCTGAATCTCATCTATTCTGAATTCTGATTACTGGTTTTAATCCACTCTGCTAGTTCCGACAAGAAGGATAATTTTTCTTCGATCTTTTGACAACTTATACAACATAGTAAAGAAAGGATTGGACATTAGCCATTAGGCATAATTTACTCTCTCTCTCTCTTTTTTCTCAAAGAAATAAAATGTAAGTTAGGGACTAATTAAAACGTTTTGAAGATTAATAACCAATTTGAATATTTAATATTTAAACAAAATGCATGTTAAAGTTAAAAAATTAAGATGTATTTTTGTAACACAAAATATTTGTAAAATTAAAAATTATTTTTTAACACGAAATGAAATGTATTTTTGAAACACGAAATAATTGTGAAAATAAAATGTATATATAATTATTGCAAATGAAAAACAATTTGAGTCAAATTTTAAACATCTATTGTTTGAACTAAACACTCCTTCCTACAATTTTCGTAAAAATATTGGACGGGGATTGAACGATGTAAAAATAAGATTTTAAGTGTAAAATTATTTTTATCTAATTTAAACTCTAGTTTCGATAATTTCCATCCAAAAGAATGAAGTAGGTAGATATATATTAAATGTTAAAAATGTTGAAGACGACGAATTCATACGTCAAGAGTAACATTTGTTCTTATATTCATTTATCGATAGTAGCATGTTTGGCTGAACCTAGAAATGTAAAGACATATTTGGATAACTTTTTTTTTTCTATCTTTTTCACTTTATAGTAAGATGAAAAACATTATAAATTAACTCTTAATTTGTTCATAACATAAGTAATTTGCTTATTTTCAAATTTCATCAACAAAAAATATTTTAAATTACTTTTTTACTTATAAGTAAATTTATTAATAATTTTTAAGCTTGGCCAAACATTGAACAAAAGACAGATGTGGGGTCATATTTGATAGCACCAGATAGGACACTGCATCATATAATGGGGAAGACTTTGTATATTAATATCCAAAAGATTTGAACCACATATTCCTCTTCTTTATCTCAAAATAATTGATTATTCAAAGCTGGCAAATCAACAAAATCCATGATCAAAGTTGGGATATCAAAATAATCTAATAATTAAACCAAAATAATCCAAAAGATATTCTTTCAACCATTCACCTTCATTTCTTGTGCACACCTAAATATTTTCCAGATTTTTTTTATGTGTTTTAGTAGTGAGTTCTAAATTTTGGTTATCGAAATCTTTCATTCGTGTCGAAATCTTTCGAAGATGTTATGAATTTTTAAATTGTTGAGATTAGAAGTCATTTTCCAAGTGTTTGTTAACTTATGGAGATAAGTACTCATCGTTCTTTAATGAAAATATCTAAATAATGAGTCAATCCAAATTCACAATCTTATTAGAACTAAATTAAAGCTCTCAAATCAAGCTTAGTTTTCCTAACAACTATAAATACAATATCATTTGACTATAATCGATTATGCAATAGGACTCAACTCAATAGTATTGATCATTTCAATATCTTTTACGCGAAAGTATCACGGTGATAACGAAAAAAGAAAAAAGTTGCGCTCTCTTGCAATAGCAATTCGAACTCAATGAATTAAAACCATCTTCAATAACACGACTCGTTGAAAAGTTGTGTAGGACATGTATCAAATTGATTTAAATTTCTCAATCATTTTTATTTTTTTATAAACTGAAAACCCCTTATGAAAAGGATAAACTAAACCATGATGTCAACACCAAATGAATGGTGGGCAATCAAAATCTATCATTCTCGAGTGTGGACAAAATATTGACCCATGGTGTGTAAAAATTGATTAGGTTGTTACAGATATTTTAAATTATACATATAAAGTTGTTAAATAAGATGAGTTGAGTGCAAGCCGAATATCAACCAAAGTCTGGCTTGATTCGTCCCATTTAACCCCTATGCAACGTGATTATCGATTTTAGCACATTTTATTACATGTTTGAAAAATTGTTCGAGTAAAACTTTTTGAAAAGGCTAGATAGTCCTCAGTCCATCATTGTAGCTACACAACCAAAGTAACACAATGAATTAACGAAAACTCGTAGAGTTACCATCCTCAAGAACTGGTTGTGCAATTATGATCCAAGGCCAACGACTCTATAACTAGCCCTTTTTTGTCTACCATTACTAAGAAAAATGAACTTTTAAACAGTAAATTTTTGAGGAATATGCTGTTAAAACATATAAAAAAAAATGTAATTTACGTACAAAATATTTTATTGTCAAGAATATGTGGTTGAAAATGAATTTCAGATAAAAAAGAGTTTTGAAATAATGGTAGGCAAACAACGGCTTAGCCGCTTAGAAACCAATCATGCAATTTTCCTTGAATTTGCTCTCCAATGATCATTAGTTCGAATCTCCTCAGGGCCACTGAGGTGAGTACACGATTGTAAACTTCAGGGCCCCGTGGAATTAGTCGAATTGCGCGCGAGCTAGCCCGAACACTTATGGTCATAAAACTGGAATTAGTCTAAGTGCGCATGAACTGGCCCGAACAGCTATGGTCATAAAAAATAAATAAATAAAAATAAAAATAAATAAAATCTGTAAACTGAAAATTTTTAGCACTAATAGTCCCAGCGTCTATCAACGGCCATCATCTTCCTCCCTCAACAAGCCTTGTCTCTGTAGTAAAACTCTAGCACGAGTACTTGATCTAATTCACAGAGACACGTGAAGAACGGCTCCCGTTACACAATGTTTCTCAACATTACGAGGCCAAAGTCGATAAAAATTCAAATCTTTCCATACAGTTTGCTAGATAAATTCTGCATATTACACGCTGTAAAACAAAACATACACATGAAGTAGACTAATTTCAGCAACAGTTGAAGTAAACAAAAAGTGGATAAATGCCACTCGACTGTGTTATATTTCCATGGGGGAAGAAAACACGAGACACAAGCTTAGATATGACTATTTAGAGATTGAAATACTGTTCAACCAAGAGTCTGAATCTGCACTTCTGCTTTCTTGTGAAAATCCAATTAGAGATAGCTGCACGCTGTATATATCAATGAGCCAATTTCTTCAAATGATGTAACGTCTTGTGTTTGATCCACTGCCGGTCATATGGAAGGTAAGCCTGAATTGAGTGATCATAACTGCACAAATGAATCGTGTGACATTAATTATAAGCAAAGTGATTGCCTTGGAATAATGTGTGCACTAAATAGTAGTTTATGTTCGTTGTTATGAATTCATGCATGTGAACATGCTAGTGTGAGTGCATTTGTATGCGAGTGTGAGAGCGAGAGACGGGGAGAGAGGAGAGGGAAAGATACACTAATGCACTCAAATCTGCAAGACCGTCAATAAAATTGTAAAGATCTGATATATCATAAGAGAGGTTTCTGATGGCTGGATTTATCTCCTTGAGTTTCCTTTCATATAGTCCACAAATTCCTGCAGAGAAAAGGTAATAATCATGAGCAGCGTGAAACATAATAGTGTAAATACAGGGGCTGACGCCTGCCCAGCGCCAGAAGGTCAAGGAAGTTGGTGACCAGATGACAGGGGTAGGATTCTGAAAAACATAATTATGATATGCAACTCAATCCTTTTCCCAAATAGTACTCTAATGGATGCATAGTATTAGACAGGACTAAGCAGTATATGGAAAATATATTAGCCACCTTCTTTCTTTTTTCAATGGTATAGTCCTATTTGCACCCTCCTTACCAAACAGGACATAATGCCATAAAACTCCATGTACAGTATTACAAAGGATATCAAACTGGAATTTTTTTATTTTTTTATTTATTTTTCCTGGATAGACGAGTTGTAATAGAAGTTGTTTTGACACAAGAAAAGGTTTGGAAAAGACAAATTTTAGTAAGATAACTTGAAACCTTACCATCCTCATCACATTGGCCTGTAAACTAATGAAGAACAAATTTAAGTAAACTGGTGGAAAAATGACGTTCAGAACTATAATATTATTATAATGAGCAGATTTTAAAATATTTATGGTCTCAATTCAACAATTTGATTTTACCAACATGCATGATATTTGATGTTTTCTAGCATTATTGTTTCTTTTCCTAATTATCTGCTTTCTTTTAAGAAGCTATGTGAGTTTTTAGAGTCTAAAATATCCATCCTTCTAAACCAAGTACATTATATGACAAAATGAATTAGATGAATACGGGCAACTGTCAGAAATATATAATCAATGATGGTAATTGAGACATACCATCCATCGCTTGACTGATTGAGTCAAAGTCCATGAAAGTACGGGTTGCTCTGTACTGAGATGTTTGCATAAGAATAATAGTGTGCCTGTTAGACTGCATATAACATGAAAACAATATAAGTAACAAGAAGAAGAACAAATCGCGAGCATAAATCATGCCAAAGTGACACAAAAGTCCAATCACGGTTTCTCGGTCAGGTATTATGGATGAAAGTCTCAAGGACAGTTCACTGCAGCACTGCAAAAGAACCATGGCCGACTATGTAGCAGTTTCCTGTTAGTTTGGAAAAGAATGAACTCAAATGGAAAGGAAAATGGCCTTTAACAAGCATAGTTCAGTAATGGCAGGAGATACGACTCAGAGAGACAAATTTGTATTCATATGATACATCTGAATTGACTGACTGAAATATAAAGTGAATTTTATTGTTGTAAACCACCAAACTACAAATAGCAAAGAGAATGAATCAGTTGTGAAGTGGGTGGGACGTAGAGCGGTCAACTGTTGGATAAGGGCAATAATTGGCAGCAGGGGAGTAGTAAACATTTAGAATTGACAACTAAAGCAGTTTTGTTCTTGCTTTTTTTCAGAATCAGAGAGAGATTGAGAACATGTTTACCGGTGGTATAGGAAATAATAGTGCTTGTACTTGTAACTGAAGCAACAAAAGAGGTAAAACATGATAAAGTCAGTCGGTAATGATAAATTGACAAGCAAAAATCAGTAGAGGCATTTTGGAGAAAAAAGTGGAGGAAAGACCATTTCCAATAGCAACTTAATTACAGTTTATGACTCCCTTAGGTTAGCCATTAGTTAAACCTAGAAATAGCCATTTTATGACGAGCATTTCTATTCCATTTGGCTTCCATCCATGAGGCAAGGCCTAACAAATTTCGCAAAAGAACAAGAACAATAATTTTTAAATAAAATAGTAACCAGAATTGGTAATAAGTAATAAAAACTTTTAGGACTTCAAAACTCTTTATATATGAGTTCTAATATTTAAAGTCTTAAATAAATGTAAGTGGCCTCATCCCCCCCCCCCCCCAACACACACACACTGAAATATAACTAAAGAATTGAGCAGGCAAAGAAAACCAGTTCCACAAATCGTTCTTATGTATATGAAACTAAATACATGCATCCAATACATGTGCATACATATTTAGTGATTTGTAATAGGATTTTACTACCAGACAATAAAGTGGAACCAGAATTTAATAGAACAGCAAAATACAATTCCCAAAATGTAAATAGCCAACTTTAGCAAAAACTTAAATTTCAAAATCATATTATCGAGAGAAACATAAGCAAGTGGGTATAATTCAAGAAATCTAGCTAAAATATACATGGGAAGCTAGAGTAAGAGTTCTAACTTATTATTTATCGTCATACCAAAAACAAACACATAAGTTTCAATTTCTAAAGAAAACACAACACAACCGCATCATAGAGCTTAAAGAAAAAAGGGGTTTCAGGTACTCCTAAGTAGTCTACAAATTCTCACAATAATCAGAACAATAAACCCTAAAGGACAGAATAATGTAAAATCAAAAAGCTTGGCTTGGAAATATACAAATAAATATGTATACACACGCATACGAGAGAGAGAGAGAGCTCACCATTGTGAGGGATCAACGATTCGTGGAAAGATCAGAGCAAACCTAAATTTTTCGCAGTTTGAGACACGCAGAGGTGGTGGGGGTTGTCAATGTGTAAAATCTTTTCCTCGAAAATGAAACCGCAAAATATCGTGGGCCCGGCCCGGACGAGTTCTTGTTGAATTTTCTTCGCTATTGTTTCATTCTTTTCACAGTGGCTTTCCATGTTAGCCAATAAAATAATTAATTAACTGCTCGATGTTACTGGTCTGATCAGAACCATTGCCATACTAAAGTACGTATATAATAATCCGTAGATTTTTATAAATAATTGTTGTTTAACTGTCAATCGAGGTTCATAACCCATCGTCCTGAGCTAGGGAAAAAATCTCGTGTAAGTTCGTATACAACTAAATCACTAGGAAATTTTGGTATCATTTTGATTCCAATTATATTGTGGATTTGTAAGGAACACGTGACATGACATTATTTTATTGACTAAATTGTGTCATATCAATAAATTTATTGAAAATAAGTCTAGTGGAGGTTTGGTATTGATTTTTCATCTCAAAAAATCAATTTTTTAACTGTTATTTCATTATTTCAGCTGTCATTTTTTACTATTTTTACAGATAGAATCCACTATTCTCTCTAAGTCGAAAAATCAATTCTCATAATCTCTATTGAACAAGCCCCCTACGATCCAACTTATTGTCAATTATGTGTTCCTAATATTAAGAATTAACCAATCACCGTACATTATTCCAATATAGGCTCGGACGAAATATTTGCTCCCCTCTTGCTTCCCTTTGATCGTTAGGGACTAAACATTATGAAAGTCATATTAAGTCCCATTTGGTGGGAATTAAAATTAAATTTTTAATAGATTTTGATAAAAATTGATAAAATGTATGATTGAAAAAATGTAGGTCTCATAAAATATAAATATATGATTAAAATTAATTGTTAACTTGACTTAAATTAAAGGATTAATAATAGAAAATCCCAATAAAAACTTATCCATGTATGATATACTCCCTATTTATTGAAATTCACATAAAACTCCCCCATTCGAAACCTTTTTGTTTGAAAAACCTCATATTGTCAAGATCAATTAGTTTAACTGTTAAAAACAGCAAAAATTGCCAAAAATTAAAAAAGAATAATTGCAGTTACAATCCCAAACTTGTTACTTCTTGCAAATTATACCCAGATTTTTTATATCTGCCAAGCTCATGCCACCACCTTCAACCACCAATAACTCCACCATGCCGCCACTTAAGTCACCGAACTTGGTGGGCCGACATGTGACCATCAAGAACCTTCAAGAACAGTAATTCTGCCCGTAATAGCCACAACTGCAAATTCTTGTAGTCCTAGTCAAGATATTGACAATATTACACAATCTATACATACAACTAAATATACAGATGCAAAATTTATGTCTCTGTACGGCACACGAGAGACCTTGTAAATCTTGAAAAATCAGAGCAAAGGTGGGGTCTATAATTCTTCCAGCAGATTTACAGGTACTGGGGTTTTTCTTTCTTGAATTCATTTTCTTGTTTTTTACGTGAAATTCATTAAATATTCACTGTGCTTCACTAGTCTTGTACATGAGAATACAAGAGAATCACTGTGCTGCAACTAAGAAGAATAAAGAATGGCGGGAAAAGCTTCATGTTGCGGTGTTGAAAGCCATGGAAATCATGTACTTCAAAGCCAATTCCGGGTTTTTTTTTAATTTCTGTCCTTATTTTAATGAGGGTTGTGTTTAGTTTCCTAAGATTGTATGCCCAATGTGCTTGTGTTATGATGTAGCGTTTCTGTTCTACTGTTCTTCATTGGGTAGGCTGAGTACGCAGATCTTGAGACGTATGGGGTGGGATGAGATGGGGTGGAAAATAAAATTTTAGAAGTTTGGAATTCTGGTTGGCAGATATAATAAATTTGGGTATAATTTACAAATAATAAAAAGTTTTGGATTGTAACTGCAATTATTCATTTTAATTTTGACAATTTTTACTGTTTTTAACAGTTAAACTAACGGATCTTGACAGGGGTGGGAGAGGGGGAGTTCGAACAAAATGTTTCAAATAGGAGAGTTTTCGCGATTTTCAATAGGCAGGGGCTATATTAGGCATGGACAACTTTCTAGGAGGACTTTTTGCCAATAATCCTAAATTAAACTCTAAATTTTAATTTCTATCAAGCAATGGCTAAGTAGAATTGAATCAAATCACACACTAACCTTTTGCTTCCGTTCAATAATTAGTGATATCGGATTAATAGAGATTAAACTTTAATCTCAATTACAAAAATGAAATCAAATCATGCTCTAACTTGCCTTTTGCTTCCCTTCAATGATTTAGTGATAAATGATCGTTTAAAAGGTCTTGAAGAACCGTTTATCAAAGGCCTTGAGGTTCAATAGTAGTCAATTTGTTGGACTGTATCAAGCCTAGTTATAATGAAAAGCTATCCCATCGTGTACCAATCCATGTGATTTGCTTGTTTTTTTATTCTATTTATTAATCATTGTTGCTCTCGATCTACCCAAATATCTTTAGCACAGCTGATCAAAAGTAGGCTTGTGACCTCGTCAAGAGTCATTCCATCAAAGACACTATACTCCATTTCTTTATCAAACACGTCGTAATCATCCTTGTACACAATGTATGTCCTCAAGCTTTTTCTCAAGCCTTTCGATCTTCTTCATCAATGTGTAAGTCTCTAGTGTTCATCAAATTACTCCACTTTAGAGGTATTGTCCTAAATCAATCTTCATTGAGAGAAGGCTCACTACCTATTAACTTCTGACAATTTCTCGTACTTCCTCCTCAACCTTTGCCTCTTCCTAGAATATTTTTGAAGTTCTCTTCCCGATAACATTACTTTCTCCAGTTTCTTTGAACTAACCTCAACCCCCAATCAAGATATAAGTAACTAACATGCAATCAATTTCCCTTTTTTTCCTTACCACAAGGGCATTATCAATGAAGTACAAAGCAAGTTAGTCAGTTTTACTTACCAAAAGATGTACAAATCATCATCATTTATATCCTTTCTCACTTTGCATAGAACAAATTGAAAAATTACAAGCCCAAGGATAGACAAATATCATAGAATGAACATACCTTGATTTGAATGCTTCCTCCACTTTAGAAGGATGAAACGAATTAAAAAATGTAAAATTCCATATCTTACCTTTAGATCCTGTGTTTAATTGTAATTCTGCCTGCTATTAAGCAGCTACGATGGGTTATATGGTAAAACCATAGATTTCATGTACTACGTCGAACTTTGGAACTTTGGCATACATTTTTTTCCTATTCTTGCATAAATATACATCTAGCCAATAGAAAGATATAATATTAGAAATCAGGAAGCAACCAAAATACGTTTTTTAAAAGTAAAAAAAAGTCCTGTCACTACGTCTACTTCCCCTGCTGCCTACTGCCTTTATTCATTCCTTTCTCCCAACAATTGACTTCCTCCAACATAACTTTCTTTTAATCAATCTATTTATCATTTAAAGATCTTCGTTGGTAATCAACTCAACTATCTTCATTTCAAGCCACCACCTCTGGTACTCCACCATCACACACTGTCAGAAAAGGTGGCTGACACAGAAAATTATCTGAAGCCACCGCCAACATAGGAAAAAGGGTATCGATCAAACAAGGCATCTGACATGGCGTTGCAAATATGACCTCTGCAAAAGTATTCATCTTGCTTCCACTATTGACATGCCCGTGACTGCACTAAAGTTTCACCCTATGTCTTTTCAGGTTTGGTTATTGTTAGAACATAGATCACATTCAACGTCGTCAACAAGAAATGCAACTGGTTTTGCCATATTCAAAAATTGGTTCCACCGAATGCCCCAACTTAACAAAAGTTACTGTGAAATCTCGTATGTAAGACAAAGGTGGTGCCAATTTAAAACTTGAAAAATTGTTTTAGTTGGATCTATATTCACAATGGTGGGGGCAAGAATATATATTAGGTTGGAGATCACGTTGAACTTTTAAGATGAAGAAAATTGGCTCCAAGGCACGTGTTTGCAATTTCCTTAAGATGACCAGTGAAGGATATGGGAAAGCAAAATGCCTCCAAGATATAAAGGAATCCAAATACGTTGTTTGCGTCGTGCACTAATGAAAACAACCCCAAATACTAAGAAGATAAGAACCCAATACAGATTCATGTTCTGCAATTCCGGACTTACAAAACACAAACAAAGCTTTAAAAAGGTGAATTTGGATGAAAATGGCAATCAAAAATGGGTATAAGCATGAACAAAAGGCACCCATTCTGATCTGCACAGGGGGCGGCTGCCCAAGACATGCAGAATTACCTGCATGCCGCCCTTTGGGGCCTCGGCTGGACATCCTACATCCTCCGCCACTTAGAACTTTCCCTATATGATCCCTTGACTCATGCTAACTTTTTATTGCAACTTAGAATGTCAAAAACTGACATTATGTAATTTTCCAACACCTAGTCACCCTCAGACTCACCTTCTCAAGCCATTACTACAGGTAATATTGGTAGTGCAACAACATTAAGATTTAAGAATAATCAATTATGCGATGTAATACTTACTACATGGTAAACTATCACTTTTTGGGTTATCTGTAAAAATAAAGAAAATGAGCTAAAATAATTAAAATCATAATGGGGATGAAAAAACATATCTAAATCATTGAGCAGATACATCATTGAAAACATAAATTCATAAGCATATGTTGAGCAGATGACAAAATCCCAACAATTGGGATAATTATTTATGCAATAGTCATTTCATCAATCGCATCATACTACACACACCCACATCACAAAGACACTTAAAAATCCAAGAACACAGACCTTCAAGTTCAGATAATATATCTTAATTAATAACAGTACCAACGATGGGATACTTAGCCTCGAATTTCTTCTCCCAGTCATTAAGGACACCCATTTCCTTATCAGTGAGGCCATCAAGGGAGGCGATTACATCTTCCTCGTTTTTGCTCATTTTGGCCAGGGCCCGGCTCGCATCCTTGCCGGCAAACATGCTGTAGGGCCCTCCGGGGCCATAGAATGACTTGCCGGAAGTCATGTCGAATATACGACCCTTTACTGCCACATATAAGGGCTTCGATGGGTCTGTGCCATCGTACTGTTTCAGCTGTTGTAGTGTGAGCTGCATTGATGGATTTGAGAGAATTCCTTTGTTTGATGGAGTTGAGATTTGAGAATTGGGATTATAGCCTCCGTTAGCGATTGAGTCTTGGTGTGTGGAGTGCGAGGGGATTTAAAGAGACAAGAGGGGGTGGGTTCCGTAGGGAGATGTGGTCACGAGAAAGTTTGTCTGAGCTTAGAAGGAAAGTACTTCATAGAAAGTAACTATAAAAAAGCTTACTTTTAAAAGCCCAAAGATATGCCAATAGAGTTACTTTAAACTTGAGAAAATAATAATGTTACATAGGTGGTTGTTACTTGCAAGTGATAAAACATCTTAAGTACTGTTTGGCCAGAGAAATTTGGGTAAAATATATTTTGAAATAATAGTTTTTGGTAGAGTATATGGTTAAAAAAGATGAATTTTTTATTTATTTATGTGAAATATTATTTTATTTAAGAATTTACTGTTGAAAAAAAAGAAAGATTAATGTATTAAAATTTTAAAGCGAATCAAACAAGGGCTAAATATGAATCATTTTTCTACTTTTAGATTGTTTAATTAATTAATGATAATTACGTACCATCTAAGCGAATCAAACAAGGGCTTAATAACATTACTCTTAAGAAAAAAGACTTTACAATTCCAATGTGCTCGTCTCGTTGAGGAGTTAGCCCATATTTATCTTATATTTATAAACATTCAAATCACTTTTTATGTACATGTTTCAAGGTATTTACTTATACACCATTAATATATTATTATTTTATATTTTTTTTGGTAATTTATAAGATTATGTTCAGCTCATATTTATAAACACTCATTAATTTTATGAAAAAATTCATAAATAAGAGATTAAATAGAGCACATTTCAAATTTAAGAAATAAAGTTTCAAATTTCAAAAATCAGATTTTTTTAAAATTTATTTATAAATTAATTTATTAAACATATATTGATGTCACAATTTTATAAATTTTGGTCACGGTTATATAATTAAATAGTTACAACTTATCAAATTATTAGTCACAACTTATTTCTCGATCACAAATCAAAAATGTTAAAAGCCATAGATTATTTTTCGATCATGAATCAAAAATTTTATAAGTCACAAATTTTTAATCGGTAATCGGTCACAGAATCAAAGTTTTTATTGCTCACAACTAATTTATTCATTGCAAATCATTAGATGAATTGGTCACGATTAATTTTTCGATCTCAACTTAATCAATTGTAAGTTACAGTCACAATTGCTTCTAACAACACTACTGTTGTCGCCGCCACAACGATAACGACAACCAACACTACCACAAATAACATCATGATGGCTACACTATCACCGCCAACACCATCACCTATACCAACATGATCACAACCACCAACTGCATAAAAAATGCATGTACTAATCGCCGCCTGTACCAAATCCATTATGTCCTCCATCTTCTACACCTACACAGTTACACCTCAATATATCATAACTCCACCACCAACAAAAAGAAAAAAAAAACCCTAAACAAGCTGCACGTTTGTACGACTTCGCGTGCAATAGGTGTTTGCCGTTGTGAAGAGCAGACTTGTCGCAGTACATTCCACACCGACCATTGTCGCCGATGGAAGGACGAGGATCGAGGGTTTGTTGTGCACTTCGATCTGCCTCTAATTGACATATTCAATTCAATAGAGCCTCCACCAATCCACAACCTCCACAACCATTAACACCGCTGCCAACACAACCACCGCCACATCTACATCAAATCTAAAATCAAAACCACCACCACAACATTCACCCTAGACACATACGAAATCGCCGACTGTAGCTACCGAACCACCATCTTCCCCACAGTCGTGAGTCGATTTCTTTGCGTCGCTGCCTCCAAAACATATCGCCAAAATTTCCCTTCACTTTGCAATATACAATCAAGCCTATGTCAAACAACCCGAATTTTGGATCTGCCTTTAAAATAGATAGTTTTGTGTGCAGTCAGAGAGGAAGGCGATGATGGTGGTTCCAGAGAGGAAGATAATATTGTCATGGAGTAGCTCCTCATCCATCTACACTAGCAATCCTCAGCCATTTTGTGTGGAAGGTGACAGATTCAGAGTTACGTGTGAGAGAGAGAGAGGAGTGGGAGAGAGAGAGAGATTAGGTAGGGAAAGACTGGTAATTAATTTAATTAGTATTATTTAATAAATAATTATAATCCGATTTATGAAATGTTAAACTTTAAATTTGATAAATGAAGTGTAAATTTTAAAAACAGGCTTAAATGTAATTTCCTCTTAATTTTATCTATATCTATAAAAGACTCAGAAGTACTATCAAACATTCAAATCTATCCATTTATAATTTAAAACATTTATAAATACTTACCAAACATTTTATAATTTAAATCGTTTATTTCTAAACAAGCATTTAGATTCTCAAACTTCAAATGAAAGAGGGGAAGAAAGTGTAAAAAATATTAATCGATATGTTTATATAGAATAAAAATGTTGAATCATGTTACTCGTACATTAATTTTTATATCATTCTTTACATTGTGCCACGTGTCTTGACATCATTAGACAATTTTCAAACACAACACACATTCCCGCCCATTTCAGTTTGAAAATCAATGGAATGTCAAGCATAATGTAAGAAAAATAATGTACAAACGGCTTTATCCAAAAATGTTATCGTAGCATCACTTCATTGCATCAAATAGAGTATAGAAAGACATTTAACTACCTGGAAAAAAATTATCCTGCCAAGATGTTAATTTTCTTTCTGGGGCTTAGTTGAATCTGAGTATCAGCGTGAAATAAATTATCACTCTCCCGATAGTCGGTAATCTCCATAACTTATAAGTACTTAAAAACACTCCAAACATGCCCTTAATGGGATATGAAATGTTGCTAAATAACATATCTTAACAAGCGGTACATTCATTACTGCTTTTATTCCCCTTGCTGCAATTACTATGCGCGACAAACAGTCCAAGTCAGGAAACAATTCATCGTAGTAAGAAGTTTAGTAATAGTGTCTGATTGTGAGTCCCATTTCAAGCCACATTGCGACCACTTAAGAGGCACAACCACAAGGAGAGTAAATAATCAATCTACATTGATAATCGCATCAATGTTGTAAACAATATGAACATATATAGACGTCTCAACCTTTAGCCCTTAAGAGGTATTTCCATTCTTACATGGATACTAGAATTAGATGAATTTTACTCTATAATCGTATATTTGATAAGGTAAACTAGATAGTACTTTACGATATCACGAGTTTAAAAGAAAAACTCCAAAGGCCCTCCACCCCACCTTCAACTCAGCACCCTTGAGGGAGTAATGCAAAAAAAATAAAATAAAAAAGGGAAGGCAAAACTCAAACTAAAGCAACCCATAAAAAGGGTCAACAAGAAATGCAACTGGTTTTGCCATATTCAAAAATTGGTTCCACCGAATGCCCCAACTTAACAAAAGTTACTGTGAAATCTCGTATGTAAGACAAAGGTGGTGCCAATTTAAAACTTGAAAAATTGTTTTAGTTGGATCTATATTCACAATGGTGGGGGCAAGAATATATATTAGGTTGGAGATCACGTTGAACTTTTAAGATGAAGAAAATTGGCTCCAAGGCACGTGTTTGCAATTTCCTTAAGATGACCAGTGAAGGATATGGGAAAGCAAAATGCCTCCAAGATATAAAGGAATCCAAATACGTTGTTTGCGTCGTGCACTAATGAAAACAACCCCAAATACTAAGAAGATAAGAACCCAATACAGATTCATGTTCTGCAATTCCGGACTTACAAAACACAAACAAAGCTTTAAAAAGGTGAATTTGGATGAAAATGGCAATCAAAAATGGGTATAAGCATGAACAAAAGGCACCCATTCTGATCTGCACAGGGGGCGGCTGCCCAAGACATGCAGAATTACCTGCATGCCGCCCTTTGGGGCCTCGGCTGGACATCCTACATCCTCCGCCACTTAGAACTTTCCCTATATGATCCCTTGACTCATGCTAACTTTTTATTGCAACTTAGAATGTCAAAAACTGACATTATGTAATTTTCCAACACCTAGTCACCCTCAGACTCACCTTCTCAAGCCATTACTACAGGTAATATTGGTAGTGCAACAACATTAAGATTTAAGAATAATCAATTATGCGATGTAATACTTACTACATGGTAAACTATCACTTTTTGGGTTATCTGTAAAAATAAAGAAAATGAGCTAAAATAATTAAAATCATAATGGGGATGAAAAAACATATCTAAATCATTGAGCAGATACATCATTGAAAACATAAATTCATAAGCATATGTTGAGCAGATGACAAAATCCCAACAATTGGGATAATTATTTATGCAATAGTCATTTCATCAATCGCATCATACTACACACACCCACATCACAAAGACACTTAAAAATCCAAGAACACAGACCTTCAAGTTCAGATAATATATCTTAATTAATAACAGTACCAACGATGGGATACTTAGCCTCGAATTTCTTCTCCCAGTCATTAAGGACACCCATTTCCTTATCAGTGAGGCCATCAAGGGAGGCGATTACATCTTCCTCGTTTTTGCTCATTTTGGCCAGGGCCCGGCTCGCATCCTTGCCGGCAAACATGCTGTAGGGCCCTCCGGGGCCATAGAATGACTTGCCGGAAGTCATGTCGAATATACGACCCTTTACTGCCACATATAAGGGCTTCGATGGGTCTGTGCCATCGTACTGTTTCAGCTGTTGTAGTGTGAGCTGCATTGATGGATTTGAGAGAATTCCTTTGTTTGATGGAGTTGAGATTTGAGAATTGGGATTATAGCCTCCGTTAGCGATTGAGTCTTGGTGTGTGGAGTGCGAGGGGATTTAAAGAGACAAGAGGGGGTGGGTTCCGTAGGGAGATGTGGTCACGAGAAAGTTTGTCTGAGCTTAGAAGGAAAGTACTTCATAGAAAGTAACTATAAAAAAACTTACTTTTAAAAGCCAAAGAAATGCCAATAGAGTTGCTTTAAACTTGAGAAAATAATAATGTTACATAGGTGGTTGTAACTTGCAAGTGATAAAACATCTTAAGTCCTGTTTGACTAGAGAAATTTGGGTAAAATATATTTTGAAATAATAGTTTTTGGTAGAGTATATGGTTAAAAAAGATGAATTTTTTATTTATTTATGTGAAATATTATTTTATTTAAGAATTTACTGTTGAAAAAAAAGAAAGATTAATGTATTAAAATTTTAAAGCGAATCAAACAAGGGCTAAATATGAATCATTTTTCTACTTTTAGATTGTTTAATTAATTAATGATAATTACGTACCATCTAAGCGAATCAAACAAGGGCTTAATAACATTACTCTTAAGAAAAAAGACTTTACAATTCCAATGTGCTCGTCTCGTTGAGGAGTTAGCCCATATTTATCTTATATTTATAAACATTCAAATCACTTTTTATGTACATGTTTCAAGGTATTTACTTATACACCATTAATATATTATTATTTTATATTTTTTTTGGTAATTTATAAGATTATGTTCAGCTCATATTTATAAACACTCATTAATTTTATGAAAAAATTCATAAATAAGAGATTAAATAGAGCACATTTCAAATTTAAGAAATAAAGTTTCAAATTTCAAAAATCAGATTTTTTTAAAATTTATTTATAAATTAATTTATTAAACATATATTGATGTCACAATTTTATAAATTTTGGTCACGGTTATATAATTAAATAGTTACAACTTATCAAATTATTAGTCACAACTTATTTCTCGATCACAAATCAAAAATGTTAAAAGCCATAGATTATTTTTCGATCATGAATCAAAAATTTTATAAGTCACAAATTTTTAATCGGTAATCGGTCACAGAATCAAAGTTTTTATTGCTCACAACTAATTTATTCATTGCAAATCATTAGATGAATTGGTCACGATTAATTTTTCGATCTCAACTTAATCAATTGTAAGTTACACTCACAATTGCTTCTAACAACACTACTGTTGTCGCCGCCACAACGATAACGACAACCAACACTACCACAAATAACATCATGATGGCTACACTATCACCGCCAACACCATCACCTATACCAACATGATCACAACCACCAACTGCATAAAAAATGCATGTACTAATCGCCGCCTGTACCAAATCCATTATGTCCTCCACCTTCTACACCTACACAGTTACACCTCAATATATCATAACTCCACCACCAACAAAAAGAAAAAAAAAACCCTAAACAAGCTGCACGTTTGTACGACTTCGCGTGCAATAGGTGTTTGCCGTTGTGAAGAGCAGACTTGTCGCAGTACATTCCACACCGACCATTGTCGCCGATGGAAGGACGAGGATCGAGGGTTTGTTGTGCACTTCGATCTGCCTCTAATTGACATATTCAATTCAATAGAGCCTCCACCAATCCACAACCTCCCCAACCATTAACACCGAGGCCAACACAACCACCGCCACATCTACATCAAATCTAAAATCAAAACCACCACCACAACATTCACCCTAGACACATACGAAATCGCCGACTGTAGCTACCGAACCACCATCTTCCCCACAGTCGTGAGTCGATTTCTTTGCGTCGCTGCCTCCAAAACATATCGCCAAAATTTCCCTTCACTTTGCAATATCCAATCAAGCCCATATCGAACAACGCGAATTTTGGATCTGCCTGTAAAATAGATAGATTTGTGTGCAGCCAGAGAGGAAGGCGATGATGGTGGTTCTAGAGAGGAAGATAATATTGTCATGGAGTAGCTCCTCAACCAACTACACTAGCAATCCTCAGCCATTTCGTGTGGATGGTGATAGATTCAGAGAGTTACGTGCGAGAGAGAGGAGCGGGAGAGAGAGAGAGAGGTGAGATAGGGAGAGACTGGTAATTGATTTAATTAGTATTTTTAAATAAATAAATATAATCTGATTTATGAAACGTTAAACTTTAAATTTGATTAATGAAATGTAAATTTTAAAAACAGGCTTATATGTAATTTCCTCTTAATTTTATCTATATCTATACATTTTAAAAGACTCACAAGTACTATCAAACATTCAAATCTATCCATTTATAATTTAAAACATTTATAAATACTTACCAAACATTTTATAATTTAAATCGTTTATGAACATTTTCTAAACAAGCATTTAGATTCTCAAACTTCAAACAAAAGAGGGGGAGAGTTTAAAAAATATTACTCAATATGTTTAAATAGAATAAAAATGTAGGATCATGCTACTCGTACATTAATTTTTACATCATTCTTTACATCATGCCACGTGTCTTGACATCATTAGACAATTTTCAAACACAACACACATTCCCGCCCATTTCAGTTTGAAAATCAATGGAATGTCAAGCATAATGTAAGAAAAATAATGTACAAATGGCTTTATCCAAAAATGTTATCGTAGCATCACTTCATTGCATCAAGCCCCTGTTTGGCCCCCATTACAGGGAAAATTTAATGTATAGAATAGTATTTTTTGAAAAATGAGTGGTTGAAAAAGAAAGAAAAATTTTCGGTTTACGTGTAATATTATTTTATGGAAGATTGTGTGGTTGAAAATAGGAGAGAGAAAAATAGAATGTAATGTAATGTAATTTAATGAAAATCAAACAAGGGCCAAATAGAGTATAGAAAGACATTTAACTACCTGGAAAAAAATTATCCTGCCAAGATGTTAATTTTCTTTCTGGGGCTTAGTTGAATCTGAGTATCAGCGTGAAATAAATTATCACTCTCCCGATAGTCGGTAATCTCCATAACTTATAAGTACTTAAAAACACTCCAAACATGCCCTTAATGGGATATGAAATGTTGCTAAATAACATATCTTAACAAGCGGTACATTCATTACTGCTTTTATTCCCCTTGCTGCAATTACTATGCGCGACAAACAGTCCAAGTCAGGAAACAATTCATCGTAGTAAGAAGTTTAGTAATAGTGTCTGATTGTGAGTCCCATTTCAAGCCACATTGCGACCACTTAAGAGGCACAACCACAAGGAGAGTAAATAATCAATCTACATTGATAATCGCATCAATGTTGTAAACAATATGAACATATATAGACGTCTCAACCTTTAGCCCTTAAGAGGTATTTCCATTCTTACATGGATACTAGAATTAGATGAATTTTACTCTATAATCGTATATTTGATAAGGTAAACTAGATAGTACTTTACGATATCACGAGTTTAAAAGAAAAACTCCAAAGGCCCTCCACCCCACCTTCAACTCAGCACCCTTGAGGGAGTAATGCAAAAAAAATAAAATAAAAAAGGGAAGGCAAAACTCAAACTAAAGCAACCCATAAAAAGGGTCCAATCCTATCAATTATTGCGTATCAAATACGTCCTAAAAGTATCACCTTCGTATGATAATTAAAGAGGTTTATGGTAATTGGTAGTCTCTCGCCTGTATACTTCTCACACAATAAAAATGGACCACTACAAATTATAAATCAAGAAAATGCAGCCTTTGGAATGAATTTGACGTACAACCTTCATTTTTTCAGTGCCTTATTTCCCCAATTATGATGTGAAATACTGTCTAAAAGAATCTAGGAAGGATAGATAGAACCTCTTAAATTCCCGAGCTGTAATTCAAATAAAGAACTTCAAGCGAAAATTGAGTCGAAGCCATTTTGTTCAAGTCGTACAACAATGGGGTAAAATGTTTTTATGTCGGACTAACTCGTGAAGATCGTGGACAATCTTAAACACGGCATCTGGCCTTGCAAGCCTCAATGCGTTTTGTGACATGGCTATGAGTTCATCTTGTTTTGGACCAAACCACTGAGCAACTATGTTGGCTATTTCTTTCGGAGACTTGGAGAATTTCCCACATCCATTTTCGACAACATATGGCACATTCCCAGCTTCCTGCAATAAATTTAAGTTCCCAAACTATACTACGTTAAAAAGGGCACTGATCTATGACGAGCACAGAATATACAAAGTTCATGTTTGTGGAAAACTGGATAAAAAATAAGAAAACCGATATAAAACATAAATAATTACTACAACACAAACAGGATTTTTTTGGGGGAAATAGAAATATAGAAGAGAATACTGTGGCTACCTGCCCGGCAATGAAACCGTTTAGAATTATGGGGAGTCCTCGAATCATAGATTCCGCAATAGTTCCTGGTCCAGCCTACAAAGAAACAATGTCAAATGGATGATAATGTGCGCTCTCTCTCTCTCAAACACATTAAACTTGATTGGGAAAAAGGTTGAAACCAGAAATTTGCATTACTGCCAAGAGCCGTGTACCTTGGTAATGATGCAATCGCAAGCACCCATGCACTCTTCCATTTTAGTGACGAATCCCTTCACCTAAAAATGCAAAAAACTTCTTCTGTAAGTCACAGAGATACATACTAACGTTCTGTTTGGATCTTTGGACATTAGTAAGAAATATGGAAACACTATTCCATTTTAGTGACGAACCCCTTCACCTAAAAATGCAAAGAAATTCTGTAAGTCATGGAAATACATACTAAGGTTCTGTTTGGATCTTGGACGTTAGTAAGAAATATGGAAAGAGAATAAATTGGTAAAAAAATGATTTCCACACCTTTAATTTCTACGACGACCAAAACGAACTAAGCCTTATTTCAAATAATCTTGGGATTCAATATATCCTTCATTCAAGAACAGTGGAACTCTATTCATAGTCATTTGTTTTTTACCCTGAATGTTCTATCAACATCTTCTTCTATGAACTCGAACCTCTTAAATACTTCACTTTCATTTCTTGTTAGACTCATCAATCCCTACCAACATATGATGTGTAGTTAAGCTCTCAGAAGGAATTACCACATAATCCTTTCACAACGAATTATCTACCTTCCGAGTAAGGATGGAAGGAATTACCACATAATCCTTTCACAACATACTATCTACCTTCCGAGTAAGGATAAAACATTTATGACTAAACTTCTGCTCATTCAAAAAGTTAAAAAGTGTGACTCTCTCTTTTTAAAGCAACTTTTCACTAGTACCAAATCATAAGCCAACCAAAATTCGGTAGTAGTATTGCCTGACCCCTAAACTCAAAATTTTCAGGCACTCTTTGATATAGATCATATCTAGACGAGGCATTGCCTGAATCAACCCCCAACCATGTCATTCCAGAACTGTAGCTTTGTTGCCTTATTTTATCCTATTTTGTATTTAAGCACTAATAACACTAATCAACTCTTCACATAAAAGCAGTCTAACTAATATAATCATATTCCATTTAACTTCTACAACTTCATATTTTATGGGTTCAAAGATTATTCGCCCATTCCTGTTCTTTTCGCTGGCTATGTATCAAAAGGTTATATAGAGCATTCGCTAATTCTTTCGTGTTGTCTCCCACTCATTTGACCTATTGTGTTTGTGTGCAAACTATAGTGACTTTCCTAGTATGCATCACATCTACTAGTTCTATGAATTTTCCCATAAATATCTTTTTATTCAAGTTCCGATACTAATTCTAATCCTGGACTAATTTCTACACCAGCCTTCACTCTTCAGAATAAAAATAAAATCCAAAAATGTCTCCACTATACTTGAGTATCATACAAAACAAAATATTTCATATGAAGAAACAAAAGGCAGAATGCAAAAAAATTAAGCAAGCAAAAAAGATGAATCTTCCAAGCAGTATGAGATGATAGTGGCACAAGAAAGAATTTGAATGTTATGGTACACATTCAACTTGCACTATCACTGTTTACAACATCATTTTGCATAAGATGCCACCACAATTCAAATATCTCCAGAAACAGGAGTGAATGTCATTGCCTCTTTACGCAACATAATATGACAGACGAGTTATTACAAGGCCAATTGTAGGAAATTCTTAGGAGTTGTTACCTGGATAGGAACCTTCCAGTTGATTGACTGTAATCTGTTGGCAAGCTTTTTATTGCGGCCACAGATCACAAGAACCTGACCTATTGGCTCCCCATGAGTCTCGTCATATAATGCATCACCAAGTGCTCGGGCAGTAGACTCGATGGGACCCATTCCTTCCCCACCTCCCATTAGCAAAACAGCAGGGAGGTACTTGTCCATTCCAAGCTCCTCCCTAAGTTCATCCTATAAATTCAATACAAAACAGTCTGATATTAGTGTTCTATGCTCGAACACACCATAAACGGCTTGCAAGCCATTGGTGATTGTGCAGACAAAGTTACAATGTCCAGATATTTTCCAGAGCCACAATGCTAGAAACTCTTGTTTCTCCTTCCAAAACAATAATCCATGCCCGCAGAAGTGAATGAGAAGCTTGCACCACTAAAAATTTTACAAGCAAATAACATAAAATTCTGAAGCCAGGTTATCACCAACTGCAGCATAAAATTTAGCCAAAAAAAAAAAGGGAATGAGAATAAAGAGCAAAACAAGATTAAAGGGGGAATGAAGGAGGTAAAGAACATGTTTCATAACAGACGGGGAAAACCAATATTCAAGCAGTTTTTGCCTGACACGTGGCCAAAATTATACAGGGCAATCCTCTTTGCTTGGTTTCGCTAGAAACAAAATCAGAAAAAGGAAGCATCAAATCCCTCCCCAAGTTTACTCGAAAACCAATGTACCATTGATAGCACTGACAAAAATGTTACAGGCAAATTAACCTTAAACTTTAGAACTGCAATGTAAAGCATTTCTCGTTTCATTTCCTCCTACACAAGTTACTCTTTCTTTTTTCATTTTTTTTTTCTCTTTCTCTAAATTATTTATTTATTATTATTATTTTTTTATTTTGACTTGGACAGGGTCGGCAGCATGATTTATGATGGAAGAGAAAGCGTCCAGAAACGTCATTCATTTGTTTTCACTCAGCAAGCCTTCCAAACTATTGTGCTTGGAATGGACTATACATGTTCTGCTTCCTTGCCTCACTGGTTCACTAGGGCTAGAGCCTTCTAGAATCAGAATCATCATTATCTCAACTTTCTCAATTAATACATTAACTGATTATATATTACAAACAATCTCCAACAGGAAAAAGTCAAAGACCTGGAATATACTATATTCATAGGGCTATATCTTTTATTAGAGTGAAAGGCCTCGATGATAATAATTAACTTCCTTTATGGACACATTTACTGATTTTCTTTCAAATGTCTAACAATTTTAAACAGGACTGAGTTGCAAACTGTCGTGTCTATCTAGAGATGCCCATGATGATTCGAATGACTGTTTTAATACACGAATTTGGGCATCGTGTGAAAAAAATAACATCTTAAACCATGCACCTCCAAACATAATGGCGATTATCTTTAACTTACTAGTAGATAACCTTTGGTGTTGTAACTTACATGATCATAGTTATAGCAGACAGGAAATTTAACTCACTAGCTTATAATGAACCAACTTTGCTGTTGTCATCCATTAAATCTCAGAATGACTCAAAACAGTTCCAGTTTTCTGGTGAAGGATTAGAGTACAACAGGAAGTTTTGAACCTCTGTACTGTATTAGCTGCAATGATTAACAGCTAAGAACTAAAAAACATACAAATCGCATACCTTGCGGAAAGGGGAAAAATGGGAAAAGGACACAACCTTAGGGCGAACAGGCTTCACAAATGAAGGCCGGACAGGAAGGCCATAAACCTTGATTTGAGAAGGCTGAAGACCAGCTCTTAATGCTCGTTTGGCAACCTCCTCTGATGGGCAATAGCATCTAGTTACAAGCTTGTGAAACCTACTCATGAGAAGAAATAATAAATCAAACCAACATTAAGAATACCATAAGAGGAAAAAATGGCAGCTGAGCATACCATGTAGGATGACATGTGCACAAATCTGTTACAACAGTGGTAAAAACAATCTTCTTCAAGAGACCCTTTGCCCTTAAGATACGAAGCGGAACATGTTGCATCAAAGGATGCACGCTAATAATAATGTCTGGCTGGTATTTCATCAATCCTTTAGCAACCTCTCTATGGATTTAAAGTGCGTAAAAGGTGAGAACTAGTAAATCAGATTAATAAGATAGCTTTAGCAGAATATGTTCAACTCGATTAACAAGGAGAAGGAAAGAGGAAAACGGAAGAGCGTCATCATTAATTTGCATATGTTCACGTAATGGTGTGAAATCCATGAGTGATGACTTTGAGTTCAGGATTAAATACATAAGATCATTTCTAAAGAGTAATAATAGAGGCTGCAAATAAATTTTAATATGTGGATATTGGCCATAGCTCAACATCAAAGTGGACGATATTGTCACAGTTCAAGCTCTTGCCAAATGCAGCCACACGTGCCAAAATCTGGGTATAAAAGTAGGTCTGATTATTCAGTTGCAACAAATGCAGTTGAATAAAAGTGTATAATCAAGTATAAACAGTACGAAATGGTAAATAGGGATTAATTTGAAAAAGGGTTCAGACATTGACTAAATTATGTAAAATTACCATTTACAACCATAGAGATTTTACCATTTAGCGGTTGTTTATAAGCATAACAAAACGAATAGCTTAAGTAAGCCAGATGATTTTCAGTACTAAAAAATTATATTCTTGCAGACTTCACAAGTAAATAATTTCTAATAGTAACCATTATAGAAAAACTAGTAACTTACATCCACATGTTAGTCACAGGAACTTATATCGAAATAAGATATAACCTTACCGAGCTATAAAAGTTGATGTTGCAGCAAAATTGGATTGGTGAATTACACGTGGGGCAGAAGCATAATATGTCATTCTCCACAGTGGACCATGTTTTACAAGAAAGTTATAACTCTTCGGCAGTTGATTAAAAGGCCATGGAGTATGATCTGTCCATAAATCAGTAATAAACACCTGCAACAGAGAACATAACATAATCAAGAAGAAAATTCGATGAAATTACTGAGTGGCATTATTCAATTTTTCTATCAAAGGCTTTCCACATAAACAATTTCATATTGAAATAGCTGTTATAATATGAGTTGAATTATCCCGTCTAGAAACTTAGGAGACAAATTTATTTAATTTAAACTTTTTATTCAACAGCATACCTCATGCTTGTATTTATATTTTATATTTTATTGCTTGTACTGTACCACAGCCTAAGAATACCCACTAAACTCTTCTTTTTCACATCACACATACACAGAATAAATGAACAACAAAAGTTATTCAAATCCATCAAAGACTGACCTGATAATTATCTCCAAACTCTTCAATAAAAGCAGCCTTGATGGCTTCAGCAGACGCTCTGTGACCCCCACCAGTGTCACTCATCAAAATCAAAACTTTTTTCGGAGTTTCAGATTCAACAACATTCATAGGCACTCCGTCTGATTCCTCCACAACACCATTTCCATCATTTCTAAACCCGTTATTCTCAAATGAATTAACCCGAACCGAGGCAAAACTAAGTGGGAATTTCTCACAGTGAAATTTAATAGCCTTGTTGAATTGATTCAAGACTCTTCTAATGCTAAAGGAAGCACCCTTAGTGCTAAAACTCAATGAAGCCACAGCCTTTGGCCTCTTCTTGGCATCAAAATACAAGGAGTTAGATAAGAATACCGAGTGCCCATCAGGATTAAGCTTAGAATAATTGACTACAAAAGAGCCCAACTGGGTTACGAAGCCAAAGGGATTTGCGGGTTCTTGAGTCACAGTTGAAGGCTGCATCTTTAGGGCTGTTAGTGTATGGGTTTAAGAAGTGGGTTTTCTTTATATAGCTATAAAAATTTATTCTTGGAGGGAACCAAGACATAAGCGCACAAGGACACGCCCAGGGAGGAAGATGGGTAGCGGGAGGGAATTTTGAGGAGGGTTGGGAGCCACACAGAGGGGATCTATTAGCGAGATGCAAATAAAATAAAAATATTATACCTTGTAATGTCCTGAAGATCTAGCCCTTATTTGGAGAAAAAAAAAAATTAGTAATTTGAATCATTTCAAATACACAAATTTTAATAAAATAATATTATATACAAATTCAAAATTTTTCCTTATTTTTTATTCACACATTTTTTACTAGTACACTATTTCAAAATACATTCTTATGGAATAACGTGGCTCAAACAAGAGTTTAGAGTAAAGGCCTAACAATTAAAATTTAGATTTTATTTAAGTCAAATCAACCATTAAGTTTAGGGTGTATCTGAGCGTAACTTTTTGAAAAAAAAAATTTATAATATTGAATTTTTTGAGAATGCGTGATTACGAAATAAGAAAAAGTGAATTTACCTGTAAAATTATTTTATTAAAATAATGTGTAGTTAAAATTGAATTTGAAAAAAAAATGAAATTTTATAGAATCAGTGTCAAACAGGGTTTAATCACATATTTTATGATTTTCACAACTTTTCAATTATACATTTCATCAATTTTTATTAAAATTTATTAAAAATCTAGTTCTAACTCACTAAACGAGGGCAAAATGCTATTGGTGTTTGGTGATATGAACGCTAATGAAGGTAATGTTCTCAAACTTTTTAAGAAGTAAGTTGGTCTATATATTTTCTTATGAAGGTACAATGGGCCTTTAGTAACGTAAAGTCATACACCAATCTAAAAATTCATTAAATCATTCCATAATTTCTTTCACTTCCAACCTTTTAAATCTAATTCTTATCTCAACTCTCTCGACTTGAGCATTTGCCTTAAAAAAATAAAGAGAGGTACATGTTTTTACAATGTTATATGACTATTTAAAGAAGATTTGGACGGTTAAGTACTAATTTGTTCTTTTTAAAAGTTGAGAATTAGTGTTATTTAAGTAATAAATTGAGAACCAATAATGCGTTCTCGAAATTCTTTGTTTATAAAGGGCAATTACAAGACTCTCTTTTGGATGTCTAAAAGTAGATCGTGACCATGTTATTGAATAACATAATTGCACTGGATTAGAAGTAAAACGAGTTTTTACGAGTACTCATTCTGCAAAAGAACATGCAAGATTAAGGGGAAAAAATCTTTCTTATCTCTTAAAAGGCCGATAAATAATCTCTTTTAGTGGTGCTAAAATGTTATCCCTTTAAAAGGGTAGAGAGGTAGAGTGTCTATGTCAATGAAGAGTTCTTCACACATTTTGGGTGAATGGGATGTCAAAGTATTTTTTCAGTACTTATTCAAAACATGTTTGACATGTTATCGAGTTCAATAGAATTACATTCAATTAGAAGTCAGGCGTGTTTTCACGAGGATTACATGATAATTTAAAGATGTTTTACAGTATAAATGAAATATTGAGGGCTAATTTGCTCATTTTTAAATATTTGAAGACTAACCTACTATTTGAACAATAGATTGAGGATCAATGATGCACTTGTTTATGAAAATTAACTCCAGTAAAGTCTTAGGTGAAAATTTTGAAGAGAGCATGTAGATAAAAAAAAAAAAAAAAATTAGGGAAAAAAAAAAAATTTTTAAAAAAAAAAAAAAAAAAAAATTAGGGAAAAAAAAAATCAATGTCCTATCTCCATCCGTCTAATGTTTTAAATTATATGCAATAAATCCATTAAATAGTTTAGCATAAAATTCAACATGGTTTTAAGTACCAAAACATATATTTCTTCCTAGCTAATAGGCTTGAAATTATTGCCATAAGCCCTTCAAATTAGTATGTGCAATATCCCCACCCTCTAATCGTAGTAGGAGCTAGCATTTGAACATTTCCTCCCAAATCTTATTAATCATTTGGCCCCCATTTTTTCTAAATTTTAATGTTTTGAATAGTATTTTTTTAAAGAATATATGGTTGAAAAATAATGAAAATTTTTCGATTTACATATAATATAATTTTATGGAAATTTGTGTGATTGAAAATAAGAGAGAGGGAGAGTAAAAAAATGAAAAAGAATGAGGGCCAAACGTGGGATGGCAACATGGTAGGATGCCCCCGCCCCTCCCCGTCTGGCCCAAACCTCGCCCTCCTGAGACGGGGCGGGCATGGGGCGATGCAACTTTTTGCCCTATTTATCGTCTGGTTTAATTTTTTTTTTTTTTTTTACATTTTTAAAATTTCGAGTCATGTCGTTATTAGAGAATAAAATACAAATTCAAAATGAATTTTTAACAAGTAAATTATCTAAAAATAAAATTATTTTTAATCTTTTTTTTCCCCTTCAAAGAGGGGGTTCTGGGCGGGGCATCCGCCCCATGCCCAGCGACGGGGCGCCCCTTCTTGTCCTGCTCCGTCCCGTCAACCCGTTCAGGAGGATTTTTTTTTGCCTCATTTGGGATAGGACGAGTTTTTTTGCCATTAGTGACTAAATTGGGTATCAATCAAAACTTAATGTGCCTATATTCTATATAATTATTTCTTTTTGTCTTTAAACAACACAAATATATCAAAAAGCAAGATGAATGCGCAGTTTATACTTAAGTAATTAAACATTTACACGTAGCTTGTATGTAAAATTGCAGTAATAGTCTAAAATTTAATATAAAGTTGATCTTCAATCTTTAGAAGCAGCAACTAGGCCTTTTAATTGCACGACCAATTTAACGACTTAAAACTTCAAATTTCTAGTAAATCGCCATATGACTCTCACGTGACTAACTTTATAGAATAATTTTAATCTCCGACACACATCGATATTCGAAATTTTTAAAAACATATTTTCATAAGGTCACGTTTAAGATACTCCAAATATGTAGTAACAATATGGTGAATTAATGCATTGACTTTCCAATAAATGTTTTATAAGATTTATTTTTCAACAATCTATAATTGATATAGGGTTTTGTACTAGTGCTCTAGTCCTTGAAAAATGAATTACTAGTTAAATTTCAATTTAGCTACTAAATTAAAATATGCTAATTCTTAATGGGGGAACATACATGAGAAAATAAGCAAAGACTAAAATTTTTTAGTATTAATAAAAAAATAGTGCTATAATAAAATTTTGGTGGCAATATAATTGTCCATATTTAAATTGCCAGTGATTTGGTGGACAATACTTACCAAGTTATAATTTTCTATGATATTTGTTTTGTATAGTAAAATAAAAAGAAAAGTTGAAAAATGAAATACTGAAATAGAAATTTGCGTTCAACAAGAAGAAAGATTGGGAAAGATTGTGCACACGACAGAAATGTAAGAAAATAAAGAAGAAAGATTGTGCATAAGACAAGAAATGTAAGAAAATTAAGAGAAGAATAAAACTATAAAAATAATCAATTGAAGACAAAAACAGACGGCTGCGACGGAGAGAAGAATGAAGAAATGTGAAAGGAAGAAGAGGAGGAACACGAGAGAAGAAAAAGAGGAAAGAAAAGATGAACACGTTCAACGAATTTTGTATTTGTGTAGAGAGAGCTCGGAGATTCTCGAATAGGATAATCTTTCGAATTATTGTCGAATTCATGGGCAGGCAAGCGCCAATATGATAAATTAAAACATCTTAGTAGCCAAAAAAAAAAAAGTTGAAAAGTGATTCTCGTAGTAGCAGCAAGTGAAATGAGAGCAACCTAAACCGTGAAAATAGAATTGTGGGAGAACAATACAAGCATCGTACCATTAGACGAAATAGCAAAAATTCTACAAAAAAAATTTGTATTTTGCATATTTATTTACAGCCTATTTGAGAGTGATTTTTTGGTCCAAAAATTGATTTTTTGACCGTTATTTCACTATTCCATCCGTCATATTTGACTTTCTCTCACAAGTGGACCCCATTTTTTCCTAACGGTCAAAAAATTAATTTTCAAAATCACTCCCAAACAGACTAAGTCAATTTTTCTTTTTTGTGGATGAATACAGGTTTGTGTTTACTTTAAATTTTTCTATCATAATATTATTCATGTTAATAATTTCCCCTGGCTAACCTTGTCATTCATTAAAATGCATTTGATTATTTGTTGATTGCATATGAATTATGTGTGGTGAAAATTCAAATAAATAATAAAAAGGGCCATCCAAATCATCATTTTGAATAAAGAATTCAATAATCTGCTTATCATAAGAAATTATCTCCTACATATAGCTGCTTAATTTATGTTAAGCAATACGAAGATGTTACGTTGATTAATTGATAAATAAATTCATGGTAAATCACACGGATTAAGTGATTCACTAATTATTATAAAATAAGCAACTCAGCTTTTGTAGATTCCCTGCATGCTCTATTTGAAACATTTTGTGTGAAAAACATCTATGCTATCAAGATCCATCAGATTTGCTATTAAATCCCAGTAAAAAGGAAAAAAAAAATGGATAAATTAGAAAGAACAAACGCGTCATTTCTTATTTTTCTCTTTAATAAAATCGATTCAAAACCAGTAGTGGGTTTTGTGCAACTCGAATAGACACAAAATGTGAGATTCTTTCAATTGGTAACCCACGTTTCTCGATCTGATCATTCATCACCAACGATACTAGAAGTTTCTTCCAGCACTTCTAAAATTTCAATAACTGCCATTCTTCAACCAATGTGTGGTAGTAATTTTGTAGCAGCGGGTTTTTCTTTTTAAAATGTATGCGTGAAATTTTGGAATTGGGTCTTGAAATTAGTTTTTTCTTATGTTTATGGTTTCATTGTGATTATCATGAATTGAGGCTCCAAGACTTAGAGGGTTTGAAGAAGCTCCTATGTATGGTAAGTTTATTTGTTTTTGCGGTTTAAGAAATGAAGTTTTTTTGTTCAAATCTTTTACGTGTTGTTGTTAGAATTTTGTTGTAAAAGGTGTGTGCATGTTGTTTGTTGTGGGTATTGAACTGATTCTTGTACTAACCTATGTCGTTATTATCCAATTAGATATACGGAATACTTCATAATGGCTATGTACACTGGTGGTGTGTTCTTCGATAAGCCAAATAATGTAAAGTACGAACATGGTACTGTGATGTTTGTGGACTTGG